AACTACGGTAAGGCAGTCAGTGTCGCTAACCATTCTCTCGTCTTGGCGGCTTTTCTCCGTCTTTAAGCTTTTGTATCATCTTTTATGTCACAGTCATCGGTATGCTGTGCCTGAAACATAGAGGAGTTTCATAATATATAGTTTAGAACTATATATCATGTTTAAATAGCTGTTACTGCTTCGTGCAAAATAAGGCAGAAGCTAAAGTTATAAGGTATTTCTCCCACTTTCCTAGCGAACCTTCGTGGTGTAGTGGTTCTGCACGGTGGGTCGGTATTCCAGAGGTCCGTGGTTCGATTCCCGGCGAAGGCGTTTGCTCGTTTTTCATCTCTCCGGCCTCGAAATAATCTATTGTATCTATAAAGTGAATTTAACTCAGGTATCATAAAACAGCATTTAATTCATTTTAATTAATTCACTTATTCATTTCATTCATTTTTTCATATTTTTACACATCCCTTGGAAGATCATGATATCATATTTTTCTAGCAAACGTTTAAGTGGTAATTCTACGTTAGGATGAAAGATGGAGTATGTCGACATCGATAAAACTTACTCTTTCATTTATTGAATTACCTTTTTTTACTTAATGATTAGTTATATTTGGTAGACAGATAAATCTAGCTTACAAAATTAACGCCCTCATGCAAGGACTATTCTTTAAAAAGTCACTCAGACTTTCTCTATGGTGAATGAATCAAGAAAGCCTCCTTTATGAAGCTTGTTTTCACAAAATCCTGATACTTTAGATTTACTACGTTCTGCAATAAGTTGCCGCAAATAGAATGCAGAAAGAAATACTAGCATTTCGTGGGCTCTAAAATCTGTTACACAATTTAAGTATCTGTTTCAAGCTTTGGATGTAACAATATTAAAGTTGATTTTGTATGACTTTATATATCTGATTTTATGTGGCAGATTTTCGATGACTATCAGTTTAAATGAAGTGATGTCTTTTGGAAGGTCTTTCTAAGGAAAACTGGCTCCTATTCACAGTAAACATGAGTAAAATTACGTAAGAGTCCAAACGTGGAAAACTAATGCATTGTAGCTTACATAAAAGACAAATAGCATTTTAAAATGTTTGGTTTTCATCCATGCAAGAATGTATGTTGTTTGCAAAGAATGACTGTTCTGAAACAAATTCTTGTACTAGAGAAAAATTGAATTTTTATGAGTGTATATTTGGACGAATTTAGCTTGATTTTAAAATAATAAAATGTCTTTTAATGGAAATATATTCTTATTATAAAATGTATATTTAGAAATAGAAACTTCTTTTCATTATATTTATTTACTCTGAGTTAATCCGAATTGTAACCTTTTCCGTTTATTTGAAAACCTAATTATTTTTAGAAAACCTTTGACTTGAATCGGCTTATTGAAAAATTGTTTCCTGAGAAGACTCTACGTTAAAGTAATTGTTTCCTGAGAAGACTCTACGTTAAAGAGAAGACTCTAAGTTAAAGACAGTGCTCAGTGTATAAAACTAGGTTTATTGTATTAATATAACAACTTTTTAGAATTTTGAATGCGGAAAAATCCCCCCTAAATTTATGAATCGCTCTCAAAATTTGATAAAATATGATGCTCAATTTTTTTTTATTTTGTTTTATTTGCTAAGACTTCCTTAGATTTTTAAATAAGAAATTTTCATCCTTATTTCCTTTTATCTTATCTTTACTAGTTATACTTTACATACAGAATATGTATTTGTTCCAGTTAGCAGCATTATGTTTTTATTTGAAAATCCACTGAAAGGACTGTAATTTAATAACTTTCCAACGTTCTTACATTAATTCATCAGTTGTTATGAGTTTGATATTGCTATTTTCTTACTATACTTGAATTTCTTCTATCCGCATTCCTCACCAAAATGGAAATTATCTTTTAGAATATATAAACTGAATCATTCGAATCTTAGAAAGAGAGTTTCTGGCACTCGCGCTGCGTTATTAGAATTTCGCCGGCTCTATCTAAGAGTGATTATTCCGGCTCTTTTGCATTTTTGTATTCATGTTGGCCGATACTTTAAATTTGCATACTAAAAAATAATTGAGCTAGCTTATAGCGTAGTTTATTGAATGCTTAGTCTTAGGCTAGTTTAATTGACTGCTATTTTTGGAATTAGATCGCTACGAAATGTGGTTTGTTTGTAGCACAAGTCGTGCGTTTTATATTAAAATACTTTAAATTTGCATACTAAAAAATAATTGAGCTAGCTTATAGCGTAGTTTATTGAATGCTTAGTCTTAGGCTAGTTTAATTGACTGCTATTTTTGGAATTAGATCGCTACGAAATGTGGTTTGTTTGTAGCACAAGTCGTGCGTTTTATATTAAAATACTTTAAATTTGCATACTAAAAAATAATTGAGCTAGCTTATAGCGTAGTTTATTGAATGCTTAGTCTTAGGCTAGTTTAATTGACTGCTATTTTTGGAATTAGATCGCTACGAAATGTGGTTTGTTTGTAGCACAAGTCGTGCGTTTTATATTAAAATACTTTAAATTTGCATACTAAAAAATAATTGAGCTAGCTTATAGCGTAGTTTATTGAATGCTTAGTCTTAGGCTAGTTTAATTGACTGCTATTTTTGGAATTAGATCGCTACGAAATGTGGTTTGTTTGTAGCACAAGTCGTGCGTTTTATATTAAAAGTTCATATTAAGTAAAAGAGATTGTTTTAAAATATTCTTCTGTACTTTATGAGTTTTTAAGACATTCGCTAGTAAGGTCTGCAGGATTTAAGTTAGTTCTAGATTAATAGCGACCTCACAACTTTAAATTTCAGTATTTTTGTGGTTAAACACACATGACTGCAATGTAAAGTTCTGTAGCATTTTAGCTTTGCCCGCTCAGCAGATTAATTGTAGTTGATATTTTGACGCAGATTTAAGTCGTAAATATACCGCAAAATATAAAGGCCTATAAAATTAGTGCTGTGCTATTTCCTTCTGCAATGAAAAGTGTCGGTTAAAATTCTTGTTAAAAATGGATCAGTACAAAAACTGTTCGAAAAGTTCAGGGAAAACACTAATACTGAAAAATCGAGTTCATTTTTATAGAAGTTAGCTGGATTCTGCAAATTAAAATTTTATTTATCCCTATATTCATGTTCATATACGGCTAAACACAAAATCGGCGGGTTTGCTAATAGGGACGAAATATAAAGAAAAGTATTTAAAGAGAAACTGAACTGAGGGTGATCGTTCTTATATATCTATAGTATTTCTAAACTAAAACTCGGTGGCACAAACAGCCCTTAGAGAGCCGTAGCCGGCAGTGCCCTGATATCTGCTTTCCAGATCGTGGGTTCCTGGGTGCTTGTGCATCTTGCTGGACAAGTCGTCAGCTTATAGCAGGATCTCCGGAGTTTAGTCCCCAAGCGAACTTACCGATCCACTCAATGGATGAAAGGCTAAGCCAACCTTCCCCAGCCCGGGGATCGAACCCCAGACTTGTGGTGTTCCTATGCGACGCGCCACCGGGACTCTATAGTATTTCTAGTGGTTGTGATTCTGTTAATATTCCAATATGATTATCGTCAGAACGAAATGGAAGAAGGAAAAAATAAATAAATAAAGCGATATGAATGGAAACCGATGAGCTAGTTTAGATTATATTTATTGATTACGGCAAAACAATTCAGAGACTATAGAGAGGGATGTCTTCGTGGCGAACTTTTAAAAGAAAAGTGGCTCGTGTCCATTTTATACCTGGAGAAAACTATAAAAATACCCATGCAGCTCGGCTTTTTTCCATAGGTTTCAGCCCGGAATAAGGTACCACTGTTGAACGGCTGGTAAAGCGAAATGGATGAGCTTTTATCAACCATGAGGTATCTTAAATAACATATCTTCCAAATATAATTACATATTACTCGTCAGTGTAAAATAACGCGACAATATTTATTTTTTTTTTCGACAATATATATGGTGCCTTCATTGAATGACAAAAGGATTATGAGTTCACAGTTCTAAAACTTGGCAGTTAATAAAATACCTCGATCAAATTCGTACAGCGAATTCTAGACAGTCGTTTCATTGTTATTTGTAAATATCAGTATTGTAGCTATTTACATCCCCCACATGTTTTTACGTACAAGCTTAGAAATAAAAAAAGCATAATTCTGAAAAGGGCTAAGAAGTCTAATATAATAATAAATAGCGTTATTGACCCGAATATAATAAATTCTCATTTCATAAGGTGAGCCTACAGTTATAAAATTATGTGAAAGTATTTAAATTATAGAAAGGTACTCTATTGAACACAGACACGACTGACATTTCTCTCAGTCTATGAAATGATATGATAAAACATTTTATGAGGTAGATAATTAGGGTCTAAGGTCTAAAAGTTAAATGACAAATTATCTTAATGAATATTTTAAATATTAGTCTGAGCTCATATATAATATGTATTACAGCAGGTCATTTTATAAAAGTCCGATTTAATCTCTAACTAGATCGAATTAAATATAGTATTAATGTGCAACAGTTATTCTTCGCAGAGTAAATTTACACATAAATAAATAAAAGCACACAGTGCGTCTTCATAAATGTTCGCTACATTTTACAAGGTGATGAAATTTTTTCAGTTCTTTTGAAATTATTTAAAATTGCATAACTTTTCGTGAACGATTTGAAAAATTCTCGAAGAATGAAAAAAATTCGAATGACACACTGTGATTTTATACTTGAAATGAAATTACGAATAACGTCAATTAATTTGTTGTTACTTCATCGCTCATTTATTTAAAGATAACAAAAGCATATTTAGTAATTTATTTAATAAACAAAAATGCAAAATACATGTCAATAATAAAAAATTATTGTAAAAAATACATTACAATACTTCACAACTTTGAGTAATTACCTTAGTTTCTTTTGGTGAAAAAAAGGGTATTTATATGACGTACTTTTTAAAAATTTGTTCATTAATTAAGATTGCTAGTAACAAATTAATTTTCATGTGATTCATTTGTCAAAATATACTTACCAAGGGCAGCGAGGAAAACTACGACGATAAATTTCATTTTGATCATAGAAGATTTACAGGCTGTGAGGAACTCAATGTAGACAAGTTAGATGGGCAAACAGTAACAGTAATTAATGAAAAGCCTTTCGTTACTAGATTGTATATAATTCCATTTCTTATCTAGAAACGGCGGCAGGCCATTTTCCGTTCAGGAAATTAATTTCCTTGCTTAATATCAATCAAATCCAACGGGCTATTCGCTTCATGAAAATTATTTGTTTATCGCCTTTAGTTGATAAGTGAATATTTTTTTCTTTCTCTAGGACAGCATTTGTTTTTTGCATTTATATTTCAATAATATTTCCTTAAGCGACAGGAAATGCTAATCACTTCCTTTCTTGACTGTTACTTCTAATTTGCTATTCTGTAAATCATCCCTTCAGAACAATTTGAAAGTATTAAAAGTATTATTATAGTAATTCGAAATGAAAATCACATTTGAATTTCATGGAATCGGAAAACCTCAGCTTCGTGTTAATTCTACAAACCAATCCTTTATTTAGGACCGAACATTCACTCATTATGAAATAATCATTCATAATGAAGTGAAATCAGTTCAAATAATTATTTCATTATACTTCATTGCTACAAATGTAACGTGGAACTAGTACGTTTTAAACTTTTCCGGTTTTTTCCCCTTTCTGCGTAGGTAGTAAACTAGAATTTTATAACTTCAGAGGTGCGCGTAAAGTTGTCAAATGTCCTAATCAAACGATATATAGTTTCCTCATCCCTTTTTATTTCAAATCGAATCTGTGTACGTGAAATTTAACCATATGGCATAATCAGAGCTTCAGTTGCGTTTAAGAAAAAGCTTAGTGTTCATTTATTAGAGGTTTCGTTTTGATGTTGTCATTTAAGGAATGCAAAGACTAAAAGATTGACTACATGAAATAAGAAAATGAAGTATATGTAGGATGTGACAAGGAAGATGACCACGACTTTAAGGTCTGATAGGAAAACAGTATTCTTAAGTGTCTTGTTTACAATCAGTTTATTAACTGATATGTGACTGACATTAAACGTTTAGGTGGCGTTATAGTAAAAGGAGATAAAATATATATTAAAAAAAATTACTCAAGTCAACATTGAAATCTAAAGGAAATGACAATAATTTAAAGGAATTTGGGCAATTAAAATTCTTTATGTTTGTGATGAAAGTAAATTTGACACATGTGATAAATGTTTTCTATGATGTGAAGTTCTGTTTTCTTCCTATCTAGAACTAATTATGCACCGAGAGTAAAATCCTGAAACACTGAACTTCATTTAGCCGAAAACCGAGTAATATCCCTAACTACTTTATCTATGCTGAACGTAGCGAAACTTAACTAATACCGAATGAATCCAAGTGTATAAACGACAGTCCAGAAAAGGGTTAAAATAGCCTTTTATTCACTAAAAAAAATAATGGCAGTCGGCCTCTTCTCGGGCTTACAGAAAAGCCTCCACTTGGGCTTTAAATTAAAATAGAAAATAAGAAACTATTCTAATGCTAAACTAAACTGACTTAGCCGAAGCTGTACACATTTACCTAAAGTAGTTGGTCCTTGACTAAATTAACTGACCAATATCAGTAGGCACGTACAACACGGCCAAGCGTAGCGAAAAGATTTTGGTTATATCTAATTTAATTCTGAATGAAGACGTCTGTAAAATTAACTTATGTTAAATGAGAATTCTAGTTTAGAATTTTTCATGATATTTATTCTTCGACATTTTCCTCTTTTTTATTTACTAACTAATGTCCGCTCATAGTTTTGCATTTGATGTCATATCTTAAGTATTTTAAAATATTAAATAGTGCAATCCACTCAAAAATGTAGTTGTAACAGTGAATTTTTCTGTTCAGTTTAATCATATGATCTTTAAATTTTGATACACTTCACTTTTCGATAATTTATTTATTATTTTTTGCATTTCTTTTATAGCGAAGATATATGCAATTTGATATATAACTTGACTTTCAAACTGACAACATCTTCTTGTAATAATGTAATCTTAGTATGAAAGATGTTAAATTAAAAAAAAATATTATTTTTTGATAGAATGTCTTCCATAACGTGACCAGTAAATGTGTCTCATCTCTTAAAAACTGTATAAGTGCTGTATAAGCATATTTCCATTTAGCAATTTTGACTAAATCAGTAAAATTTTACTTCAGTTACTATAACATGCAAGAAAAACAAATCACACATTCGTACGTATTTAAAATAGTTCATTTCATTTCCTGAGTGAAGTAAACTGTACGTGAGAACTTTTTTAAGTGTTTGGTCAAGAAATTAATTCTGATTTAAGTTATGAATTTAAGTTGAATGAATATGAATTTATTGCTTGTTAAATAAATTATATAGCATCCAGCTTAATAGATCTTTTTTGAAGTAATCCCCATATACATCTGGCAGTCCTGTGGGATGTGGTACATCCTATCTTTGAACTTTTTTCAGAATTACATCTTCTCTCTTCAAAATGACAATTGAATGGCTAACCTTTCAGCAATGATTTCAGATAAAAGTCATACAGAACTAAGTTATATCAAGGGTATGGTACACATTCAGTATTTTACTTTGACAAATATTCAGTAGAAACTCTAGAAAAGTGACGGCATGCAGTTTTATGTTGTAGGTGCTAATTAAATAGATGCATCTCCAGACATTTTTGATAGATGAACAGAACTATATGTAATATCATCCAGCATCACGAGATGTACAGAACTACTATATGTTTTATCACCTAGTATTTATTTCATGTTCATAAATCATTCCATGGTACTCAGAGAAGGACATACCATGACATTTATGAACATACCATGGTACACAGAAAGAAAATCCCAGTTGCTTTTCTCACTGGTTAATTTAAAATGAGCCTTCCCCCCCCCAAAAAAAAGGCAACCTTAGTTTGGCATAAATTTTGAATAAATCTGTCGATTTCGAGGGCAATTAGACACAGGTCTGTTTTCTCCTAGAGCTAATAATTTTTTGAAGTGTCATCATTTTGCCTTAAGTTAAAAATAAGTTCTTTTTTCTACAAATTTATTTATAATACAAAAATGTCATTGTGCAGTAATTTTATTCTGCTATATAGTTTTTACGAATAATATATAACATTATTTTGGGGGGTCTATGCAAGGTTTTTTAATCCTGAAGTAGAGCGGCGTATCTGGTTGCCCTTGAAGTCGAAATATATATTAATTCAAAATATATGCTACACTAAAGCTGCATTTTAACCTAATTAAACTTCCTTACATTTTAAATTTAAAGCTACTTTATGATTAAGTAAGATATTGTGATTATTATCAATTTGTTCCTCTTTTATTTCTAGCAACTTTCTACGTTGATGATAACCACGTCGACTACTAGTGGCTAAGTGATAAAACTGCTGACATTTTTAGCTGGATTTGAGTTCATTCCCTGATATACGAGTATAAGCATGAAAGGTTCACGATTTTCTTCGCGTGTAATATGCGAATGCAAGCCAGTTTGTTTTAAAAAGGGTTTCCCCTATACTTAAAATGAGCAACGCCTTCTCTGGGAAACGAGCTGAGGACCTCTGGTGTAGTGGTCTGCACGCTAACCATTTGTAAAAACTACGCTAAGAATGCGGAAGAGATACCTTATAAAGGATTTGAATGAATGTATGCATGTTTTTCGCCCTGTGAAAAAAACAATGGTACTTAAAGCTATCAAATTTTGAATAACGCAAACCTCCACCCGAATATGGAAACCTGGAAGCCCGAATATTAAATTTCGAATTTGTTTTATTGTGTATTTTGAATTTTGTAAAACTCTAAGAAATTTTTGATTAAAAAAAACCTCAACGATTTCAAAGCAAGCAATGTCAACACTGTACAAAAAAAAAAAAAAAAAAAGAATGTTCTTATATAAAGCGCGAGAGACTGTCGATTGAAAATTCTAAATATAGGTTTCTTTTATGTATTTTTAACTCAAGATAACATTAGGCCAAATACTTTCGAAACGTATATGTATATGTAAGCCAAAAACCGCCTCTTTAAGCGTAATATAAAACCTGAAAGCTTCCAGATTCTTTCTTTATTTATTTAAAATGGCTCAATTTCATTTTGTTAGTCTAGTCTAAGTTTTTATTATCTCATATAACTTAGGGTAATTGTTTAATTATAATCTACGGTATTACTCTGATTCAAAATCTAAGGTATTAGTTCGTGATTTGCACTTCTGCAACTGAAGAAGTAAGTTCTGTATTTAAACTTTCGAAACTAGTTCTGAAAATTTATAAATATTGTGCAGATTCTTGAGAGTGAAAGAATGTCTATATGTAGAAGGTCCATATGTAGAAGTCCGTATGGAGCTTTTAAAATTTCACAGTTGATGGATGAATACTTTATGATATTTTGAAGTTTATTGAGAAGGAAGTTGCTGTTTAGTGTTTGTCTGAACCAGAGTTGTGGTGATGTTGTAGTAAATGGCTTGAGGTCGAGGACCTTTGTGATTTCGCAGTTAAAGAGGTAGTGATCCAAGCCTGCCAGTGTGTCCGCAGATACATAGATTTGAGTAATGGAGACCGAATCTGTTAAGATATTCTGGAAAAGGACCATTTAAGGTGTGAAAGCTGGTGATTGCTCTATTGGAGGACAATAATTTTCTTGAGGATTCAGGTAGGAATAGAAATGTGTTTCTAGCTGTAGTTTCGAATGTCCATTGCTGTTTCCAGAGGTCTGCATATTTGGCTAGTTCATCACTTATTTCATTTCCTATTGTACCAGAATGGGCTTTTGTACATTTGAATTTGGGTAGTAGGTTGTGAAGAAAGTGAGAAAGAAGATAATGAATATTGCAAACTATTGGAGATCGACTATGGCCAATTATTGCATAGATGCTGGATGCACTATCTGTAATTATTAAGCTAGGAAGGGAAAAGTCTTTGGCAAAGGTGAGGGCTTCTTTTATCGTAAATAACTCTGCTTTGAAAGACTGAATTTGTAGGATAGAGTCGTTGGTACCATTTATTGATTAGTTTCTTATTATAAAAGACACAATATGCACAGCCTACTCCTAGTTCAGTTTGGGATCCATCAGTAAATATTTATAGAGCAAAGCAATACGATGGGGATGTAGTAATAAGTGATTTTGTATGAAAAT